TTCCTTCTGGTCCACTCTATTGTTTTGAGTCCCAGTTTCCTTCCCATCACTATTGGTTCTGCGTGCATCTTCCTTCATCTCTTTTATGGTAACCTGCATTTTTTTCATGTAATTTGCGCCCAAAATCAACCAGTTCTGTGAGCTTCCTGATCACCAGTGTTTTGAACTGTGCATCTGATAGATTGGCTATCTCTTGGTCGCTCAAAAGGATGAGTCCTGGGGGATTGATCTGTTCTTCTGTTGGAGACATGTCTCTCTCTCTCTCTCCTTTTTTTTTTCCAGTCTGGTCGCTCCTGTTATGGTGAGGGGTGGAGCCTTAGGTGTTCACGGGGGCTGGGCACCCCAGTTGCTAGATTGTGATGTTGTATGTGAGGTGGGGGTGGGAGCGGGGGCGGGGACGGGAGGAACAATGGCAGTAGCCCCACTCTCTTGGGGCCTCAGTACCCGCCCTGAGATCCTGGGTTGCACACTCTGCCCTGGTCCACAATCGCCACCTCACTGGGTCCGCCAGCCGCTGCTTGCACACTCAGGGTCCACCGCTGCAATCTTGCGCATCCTGGAAGGCTTCCGCGCTCCCGGTGGCTTATGTGTCCATTTCTCCCCGATTGCGCGCCGCGACCCGCACCGCTCCTCCTCTCTGCCTCTCCTACCGGTCTGGATGAACGGGTCTACTTCAACTTCTTGGCTGTCCGACTTCCATTCAGATAAATTCTCTATCAGTTCTGAGTGTTATTCTGCCTCTAAATTGTTGTTGTTCTAATCTTGGTTGTGCGTGGAGGTACGGTGCATCCACCTATGCCTCCATCTTACGGAAGTCTAAAATTTTATTTTCAAAAACATTCTTTCTGTGCTTGATTATTAGTGTGAGCTGTTTGCATTGTTTGGTACTGTAATTCTCTGTTGAAATTGTCCTTTGTGTATTCCCTTTACCTTATATATTTTCCTGACCTCAGTTGGAAATGAGTCCTTTGTAGTATTTGGACTACATTTTGGCCCAAATGGTGGGATGGCAGGGGCAATCAATGCTCTGTAGCAAGGGAATCTTCTTGAAAAGGAAGCAAAATAGTTTTTTGAAAAGTGATAAGCAAGATGAGATCCAGGCTAAGAAGGTCAGCCTGATCAAAATTTGAGAGATCATAAAAATGAAAAACTAGATAAGACCAGACATGTGAATATTAGGAAGAAGACTAAACTGAGTGAGTCAAAAGGTTAGGTAAGACTGTAAGCTTTACTCCAGTGAACTGTGGAATACAGTATTGTGAACTTTTTTTTTCCTGAGCCAGAGGGAAAGGAGGCCTCTCTCCATTCACTGAAACTCAGTACACTGAGTTTGTGAGCTTGTCGATGCAGTTTGCATGTAGGTATTCAAAGTAGCAAATGCAATCTCAGGTCAGAAACATATACACACTTTCATTACATGAGCTTTTACCCAGTGTTTCTTGAGATATATGAGTTTATCCAAAACATTTCATCTGTTTATGTGTTGTGGGCCGAGATGAAATTTATTGTGACATTTAGAATAGATGTGCTCTAGTCCTATAGTGCAGTTCTCTAAAACTCAGAGATGCTGCTATTCAAAGTGAAGAGGAGAGGAAGCACACATAGACACAATACCCTCAGGTAGTGTCACTGACAAAAATAGTAACAATGTGGACCTGGTTAGTTCATTGGAAAAAATTAGGAGTTGATTTAGTGCTATTTCCATGAGTTCTATTGTTGGAAAATTTGGTTCATCCTTTCTGTCATAAGTGAGTTAACATTTTACCCCAAATTATTTATTTATCATTAATTCCCATTCTTTCAAGATTTAAAAAATTTACTAATAAATATTTGACAATAGTGAACCTAAGAAATGCCTCATATTTGCTTAATTTGCTATTTCCCAGACTTCAGCTGAAATAGTATGTTACCTGTACTATTACTTAGTTAAAATTTTTCTTTAAACCCATTTACTCATTTATTCATTCAACAAATATTTTTTGAACACATATTATGTACTAGGCACTATTCAAGCCATGTTTAAATAGCTTCTTCAGTCTTCTAAGTTATAATATGTGGAAATCATAGGTAAAGTAGTTCTTGTGTTTTTCTAATATAAGTTTGTATGAGTACCTAACTATTAAAAATGTTTAAAGGCCTGTTCATGTGGCACCTAAAATACTTTCACTGCTTTGGTGTTTGTAAACACCTTCATGTTCATTGTCTCTTTAGAGTCTCTCAGTGACCCATAAAAATCTGCACAATTATCCCTGCTGTACAGCTGAGAGAACGGAAGCCCAGAGAGAGGGATTCCCAAGGACACAAAGCACAGGCAGGGAGGTCCTCCTCCCCTGACTTTGAGTTTAGTGCTGGGCCTGCTGCTGCCAGCCCACAGGGCCACAGGGCCGCTGGCGCTGCAGAAATGGGGCGAGCAGTGAAGAACGAAAGGGGGAACTTGAGGTCAGCTGTCTTCCCTCCATTGTGAAATCTGTTATATGGCTTGTGCTCTCTTCTTTGACCTTTATGTGGCAGCTTTGCCTCAGCACTAAGTAGCTAAGAAGGTATCACCCAGAGATTTAATCCTGTTATCAGGATTAAAGCCTACAGGGAATTTTCACATAGTATCTCATTTAGTTAGTTTTGGAAAGCACCATCATTGCTTTCTCTTTCAGTTCACTGAATTCTTTAAAAACAATGTAGTTTGTAGTGAGAGTAACTTTGATCAGTACAGGCAAAATTAAATGAAGAAATCATTGTAAAGATTTAGTTTAGAAAAATGACCAGAAAATTATCTGGTTCAAAATTTTGAAAACAAATTTGGGCAGGGGTTATCTAAATTTCTGTAAAAATGCAATTTGATTTCAAATAATTTGACTGACTTTTTTGAGTATGTCTGTGTGTATGCATACATACATGTATGTGTATAGTATACCTATAAAACGAGTGTTTCAATGTGTATTAGAGTTGAGTGGCAGAGAGAGATTGAGTGCTTTGGAGTCAGACGTGAGTTTCAGTGCTGGCCATGTTACTCAAAGAATGAGACCCACCTGTGAAATAACAAAAATGATACTAGTTTTCAGTATTACCGTATTAAATAACAAAACAGTGCCTTTTACATAAAAGTGCACAAGAAATGTTTTTACTGCCCCATATTCCTTATTTAATTAAAATTAAAAGTTGAAGATTTAAAAAAAGAGTTTGAGCTAACTTAATGTTCTGTTTTTTCAGTTGAGTTCAACAGGGAAAGTTTCCACTGTGGTACCCTACCTTGTCTCACTGTGAATCCGCCTTCTGTCGCCTGCATCCATCCCTTCCTTCTGAAACCTCTCACCGCGCCAGTTTGTGTCTAATAGAAGCTTCTGTTACAGGAAAACTCTCTTCCTGCTGTCAAGAAATCCATTTAAATACAAGTGGAATTAGCTATAAGTTACACAAATGTAGTGTGTGGAATAGCTTTCATATTCTCTTTGTGGGAGTAAATACAAGATGGAGTCTCATGTCTCACAAGAAAGGTGAAAACGTATCCCAGCCACCTTCTTCTTTTTCAGAGTCGCACATGGTTGTATTCATTGTACTTAAGCTTTTCTAATCATCCCGATAAGACATTTCCTTCAGGGCTCTTACGTTACAAAGTGTGATTGGAACAGAGTTGTCTCCTGTTCTGGCATGCTACAGATTGGCTATCCCCAATGAACTTGTGTATGTGAGATATTTGGATCCTTTAAGACAAAATACAGAAAATTACTACAAGGAAAATGTTTTCAATATTTGACTGCTTTTCCCATTGAATGATTAGAAATGCTTGTTTTCAGACTTGGTGACTTAAACACTTCATTAATCATTACTGTGTACTAAATTCAAAAGGGGTAAAAAAAAATCATTTATAAATAATATTCATGAGTCAGGAAAATTTAAACACAAAAGGTGATAATAATATCCTCACTTATTAATGTTTACTTCTTACCCATGAGGCATTTCTGTCAACCTCTGAATTTTTATAGTTTTTACATAAAAGTAGTGGAGGGGTTGGGAAAAAGCTGGGTTAAGGGATGGCCAGGGGATTTGCTGTGAAGCTGTGTTTATACATGTAACACTGTCTTTACTCAGTTTGTCTTTTTTCTAAAGATCAATAAAAATAGCAGTGTTTTTCTAAAGATGTTTTTATTCACAAGTTACATACAAGTGTTCCCATTTATTAATTGTTTTTCCTGGGGGGGGGGGGTAGCTTCAAGAACCAAGCAAGAGATCATTGTGGGTGAGTGGCAAAGGCTGCACCCCCCATCCCCACCGATTGATCCCCCAGACACCCTTTGGCAGCTCAGTGATGGTGATGAGGCAGCAGGCTTCACACAGGATGGTCATGATAAAGCAGGACAGGGGAGAGGGCCTGCCCATAAGGGGTAGCAACACCCTCTTCCCCTATCAGTAGGGACTGTGGGTGGCCTCCCTAACACACACCAGGTAATGCTAGCTAGCTTCTCTATGCTTGGTTAAATGCTCAGTGTGACTTGTCACATTTTAAACCCACAGCCATTCTATCAACAAGGTACCATCGTCCTCATTTTAAAGGAGGAAATGGAGGCTCAGAAAATTTAAGTGCTTTACTCATGCCCGGAGATCAGATTGAAACTTTACTCTTGACTCCAAAGCCCACCCCCCTCACTAACGGCTGTTCTTGTCCTCCCTGATGAAATACAGATTTGCAGTTTCTGAACAGCAGGTAGTGAAGAAAGCAAACCAGGATCTCTGATTTATACGAGTTTTCAAATCAAGTTACTTAAATTCCAAGTTTTGTTCTTAAAACACTATTTTTGAAATTTTGACAATTTAAAAGCCAAAGTCTTTCCTTTCCCTTGATGTCTGCAGCCTGGATCCCCAGAACCGACCTGTGACTTTTGACAGGGCTGCACCAGTGTTAGCCTCCCTCCCCCAACCAGAGCCTGCGTGCACAGCAGGAAAGAAAAGCAGTGTTAACAATGGCAGGTCTGGGTAATGTGCTGTGGTCTCATGCCTTCACTCAGGTGGAACCCGAGAAGTTGAGGACACTAACAGAAGGTTTTGAAGCCTACAGCCGAGCCCGGAAAAGAAACAGAAAGTAAGCGCTATTTTTTTTCCTTCCCAACTTGTTTTTCAGGAATATAATTGATTGGTTTTCCTTTGAAAGGGCAATGACATCTCACTGATTTTGTCCATCTCGTAGCCTGCCTACAAACAGTTTAATAGTGATAACCAAAGAGAACCATTGTAGACAAGCCAAATCAGCTATTCCAGAAAATATTTTCTCAACAACTCATACTGTGTGAGGGGTTTCCCTCTTCATCAGCTCTTTTCTAACTCCCTGCGTCTCCACCCTCTGATTTAGTGAGCAAGAAAATATGATTAATATTCTCAACATACAGCAATTAAATGATCTGAAAGTATAGCAAAAGTATACAATTTCCAGTTTGGCAAATTGACTTATTAATCTAAGTGAAGGTAAATAATTTTTTTCCTTGGATCAGTTGCAATAAGTTCTCTTAGGAATTATAACAAGAAGTTGAACTTTGGGACGTTATTATTCCAGTTTTTCCAGATCTATACATTCTGAGTAACTGTAGAGTGGACAGTTAAATAATGTTTGAAGTACAGTTTCCACTGTAATACAATGTAGTTTTATGTATCATAACTGTTATTTCATTTTGAGGTAAAGAACTTCAAAAGTTGCTTTTCTATATGAATATGGGAAATTATTTTAAAATATGTGTAATTGACAGAGCTGTTCAGTTACTATAGTTTTCATATTATCAAACGTCCAAAAATTATGAAATTGGACTGATTAGGAGTGTACAAGTTCTGTCCAGAAGATTTCCAGCCATGTAATATGAAAAATGGAGACATTTACTAAAGAAGATACACAATACAAGAAACATTGTACATAGGACAATGATGTCTCAGTCCCCTTCAAAGTAGGCACCTTTGGACCTCACACAGTTCTACCAGTCACCATCAGCTACTGCATTTTATTTTCCTGAATCTCATCAATGGTCTGAAATCGCTTCCCTTTCAAAGGTGATTTTAGTTGGGGGAAAAGCCAGAAGGCACAGGCCACCAAATCAGGGCTGTAGGGGGGCTGAATCACCTGGGTGATTTGATGTTTCACCAAAAATATCTCACAAGATGTGATACACGAGCAGATGCATTGTCGTGATGAAGCTGCCAATCACCAGTTGCCCTTAGCTGCGGCCTTCTGAATCATCCGAATAGTTTCCAAGGAGGAATGTTCAAACTTTACACAAAATTTGGTGCAGATTTGTTGCTGTACTCACTCAGTCATTTTGAATGTGAAGGCCACACAGTACACATGCTCAATGATATCTACTGTCCCCACTGACTAGAACAGTGAAGTTGTCATTGTTCGCACACGCACAATGCAGTCCTGTCTCCTTGGCTGACAATTTACATCAATGTTGCCATAAACCATTCTCATTATATTAACAATGGCTGGGCTATTTCTGGACAGACCTCATCGTAGCGTGTATTAAAGGTTTACATAATGATAGCAATATCTGTTAAAAGGGCACTCTCTTTCTTTTAGTGAGGTCTTCAGTAATTCTTGCTAGAGGTAAAATTTTAGGACTCAATAAATCTTGGGGAGACTCTAGTCATCTCACTGGAATGTCTCATTAAAGGATATAACTGCAAGGAGCCAAGTCCTACGTTGGACTCTTTCGGAAGGTAGCAAGTTGGCACTGGCTGTGACGAGAGCTGAGTGAATGGCCAGACTCACTATAAATCTGATCAGGACACAGTGAGGCAGGTGCCCTCTGCTCTGACTGAGTGACACTGTAGAGAGCTTAGTATGAGGATAGGCCTATAAAATTAATATGAGATCTGGATGAAAAGAGGGAAATTGAAAATTACTTACATCATAAGTTTGCAATGGATTGTTTACTATAGAATATTCAACAGTACTTGTTTAATTGGTTTTTTAAAAATCCCCAAAATTTTTTCTCCAGTGAAGCATGCATGTTAGCTGGCTTATGTGCAAAATACCCAAAACAAAGTTGATAACATAGAAATGAAATAACTCCTCCAAATACTTAGGCATAGTGCCTTGAAAAAGCTGTATTTTCCCCATAAATTTTCTATTCAGCAATTTCTGAAAGGTATTGAGTAACAAACAGTGATTTTTTTAAATTTTTCTTCAAAACCAGTTTACTATCTGTAATGGATTTTTATGGGTCCTAAGTGGCATTACCTAAAGGAACTCTGAGGAAATCATAAACTCAGAGTACAGAATGAAGAGGTAAGGAAGAAATGATGAAGCACACATTAGTAAAAACAGCTTTATTTATACAATGCTCTGGTCTAAGTAGACTGACTTGCCCAGAAGGATAGATTATATTGTGCACATGTGGTTTATGCAATCACAGGATGGGCCAGAATTACTGAGTCGATTTATAGATGGGGACACTCAGACCCAAATTGCTTAAATAATTAGTAGAAGGGGACATAAGTGATGATAATTGATGTGAGGAACCCAGTCATTTATTTATTCCCCAATTTAAGGAGACTAACAAAAAACCAGTGCTGCAGGACCTGGAGCTCACTGGTGAAGAAGACAGATCCAGAAACAAATAAGTAGCATGTTGAAATTGCAATGACAGTGATATGTATAGTCCATTTTGGCATAATAGAGAAGTGGCATTAAATTCAGGTAAAGAAAGACTTGCTAGGGAAGATGATACCTGAGCCAAGCCTTACACACTACCGAGGTACTAGCCAGACAAAAGAAACAAGGACCAAGATGGGGTGGCGTGAGATGGTGTTTAGATGGGATCAGCAGCTGGAATTGGGAACTGTAACGCGTCGAACAGGAAACTGAAAGAGATGCAACCACAGGTGTAAGCAGGAGCCAGAGTGTAAGGGCCTAGTGAGGGCCCATAGAACGCTTTATCTTATTGGAAGTGCCTGAAGGAGAAGGAGGTTGGATTTTCACGATCTGGCTGTGTGGAGGATACATTTTAGGGGAACCATTTTGGAGGTGGGGGATTGTTTGGGAGGCTGCAGAAGAAGACGAGGGAGGATGAGGACTCAAGCCAGGAAGAGAACAATGAGGATGGAGGAGGAATGTGGTATAGAAATATTTGGGAGGTAGAGCTGACAGACTGTCTTGGTGACTGACTGGTATGTGAAGGAGAGGAAGCAATCGGGGTTTCAGCTGGGTGACTTGGTGGGTGGTGGAACCCCCCACTGAGCAGGAGAGCACAGGGAGAACTGCTGAGTGCGGTGTGGGGTCCCTGGGGATGGGTTGGACACACAGGTCTGAAACTGGGAACAGTTTGTATTTGACAGTGTAAAAATGGCTGCAATCACATAGACATACTTCGATCAATATGAATGGTAGACTAAGAACTGAACAGTGGGGCATTTGAACATTTACTAGAGATATTGAAGATGAGAATGATGATCAGCAAGGAGGGGGAGAATCAGGGGTAGGAGAGTAGAGTGTTGGAAGCCAAGGACTAAACATTTCGGGATGACAAAATGCCCCACAGAGGCCCAGTACAGCGAGAACTGAACAATCTCCACTGAACCGGGCAATCTGGAGGCCGGCAGTAACCTCAGTGAACGCAGTTCCCATTGGACTGGTCAGTAGAAAAGCAAAGTAGCCCTTGGTCTCTACCATTAATGTGAGAGGTTCCTGAAAATAACAGTGGAAGAGTTTTTCAGATTACAAAGGTTTGACTGTTTTTGTAGAGTAAGGGGGAAAGAAGAGAGGAAGAGTCTGAAAGGGGAAGATGGCATTTGGAACAAGATTGCAAAGAGGTTGGTTTTTGACCCGAGATGAAATCCTGTTGCTTTCACTTCATTTTTCTGTGCCCTCGGGTATGTTGCTTAACCTCTCTGAGCCTAAATTATTCATCTCTAAAAGAGATGTATTTTTATCTACCTCTTAGGATTTTTGTAACATAGATAACATAATTAGAGCCTTAGCACCATACTTGGAACATTACAAATATTTACTAAATAGTTATTTTTGTTATAAAGATACAGGTAAAACAAAATTATCTGATCTTTTTGCCAGTTGAAACATTCTACCACCATGTTAAATGTTTAAAGCTTTATGTACTCATTTTAATACTCAGTATCCTACAAATTGTACGATAAAAATATCTTTAAGTTTATGTGCTTATAGTCGAATCACAAAAGAAATATTAACATATTTATTGAAGACACTACTCAAGAGTCATCTTGTACTTAAAAGAGGCAATTGCTTTAAGAAAAAATTCCATAGCTTTTAGACATGTTATGGTTTTCATTTAAGTGAGGATCAAATCTTCTGTCTTATTTGTACAAAGAAATTATTTGATAGCCTGATTTTTATGAAGCTGAAAAAGGATAAGTAATAAAATAAACCACACTTTTACTTTAAAACCAAGAAATGAAACTTAGTGTGTAAAGTTGCCTTATATCTGCATACTTTCTCTATGAGTTGAGTTTCGGAATCTGAGGTTCTTCACGCTTGTCTTACCTGAATTCATTCTGTTCTACATGAAGTTGCCTAAATTTTAAACTGACAGCGTAGAGCAACGTGCCATTTCTTACTTCCCTCTTACTTCTACTGTTCACAGACGTGTACCTGGCTTTTTTTTTGTGAAGTCAAGGATAATATGTAACAATATATGTAATGAAGATGAAACGTGACAATTATTTCCATTAATAACTAGAAATGTGATTATATGAACATCTATTGCTTAGTTAAGTAGGCTTTAGAGTGTCCATTAGTAAAAATGTTTATTAAATGTCAGCAGGGTATAGAGTGGAAGAAACAGTAGAAGAGACACCGCAGGGAAGCCCTCTGGCTGGAGGACCGAATTTTGACCAATAGTTCATTTCTGGCACTCACGGAGTTTTTTTCTCCCTTTTTTTTAAGTTCATTTTTCCCTGACCTGACAAGTGAGTATAAAAATTGGTCTGCAAATTTGACATTCAAGTAGTTTCATATCCCACACCTCGGTGTCTATTCTCTTTTGCAAAGTAGTCTTTTCTTCCTCTATTAACTACTTAAGTTTGTCAAAGAAAAATAATATTGTACTAATTTAGTTTAAATTAATCAAAGATATTTACAAACATTTTAAATATCTTGTTGAAGAATGAGATCACAAACTCCTAAAACTCTATCTTTTCATTTGACAAGTAATGTTGAATTATTTATGTAATTTAATGGTAATGTTATTGTAATGTTTAATAGTTAAAATTTTTTATGACTCTTTGTTTACTACTTTTGAAAACTAAATGGTATTAAATATCCATCTTCCTCATTACAAAATTAGAATTGGTTTTACCAATTCTCCTTCAAAAATCATGAAGTATTGAATACAAACAGTTGTCACAATATCTAATTTTTAGGATTGTTTTATAGGTTTAATAAGATAATGTACATAAAGATTTAACACAATTCTTGGCACTTAGAATATTTTCAATAAATAGCTATTTTTTTAAGGTAAAGGTGAGAGAAACAAGATTTTCTGATTTTTTTTATGGAAACATTTTACCTTCTGTTTAGACATTCAGGGTTTTATGTAGTCAATTTTAAACCCATAAGATCTTATAATCAAATGCATAACAAATAAATATTTTTAAAACTTCTGTTCATATTTTTCAATACAAAAGAAAAGAGTAGGATAAATCTACTCAACACATCACACAAGGAGTAATACCGTTGAACAACTAGGCATGCATGACACTCTCAAGTCTGCCTCCAACAGCCCACAGAAACCTCGGCCAACCTGCCCCCACCTGGCCTGGTCCTGGGGCCGGGTTCCTGCCCAGCCACCCAGCATCGTGCTTAGCAAACTCCTCATTGGGAAACAAGGCAGACTGACTCCCCAAAATAACCAAGGCCTCTTAAAACCCAGAATGGGTAGGTAATAAAAGACAGTGTATAAATAGGTTGTATCAACTTGGACAGTGCTCAAAAATAGTGATAAGGTCAGGGGAAGATAAGTTGCAGAATAGTGTGTATATCAGGACAACTTTTCTGTATGTGTATATATATATATATTTTTTTTTACTGAACTTATTGGGGTGACATTGACTAATAAAAGTACATAGGTTTCAGGTGTACAATTCTATAATATATCATCTGTATGTTATATTGTATATTCACCGTCCCAAGTCAAGTCTCCTTCCATCTCCATTTATCCGCCCCCAATACCCTCCTGCCTCCTCCCACCCCCTTTCCTTCTAGTAATCATCATGCTGTTGTCTATATCTATGAGTTTGCAGTGGGGTTTTTTTTGGTGGGTGGTGGTAATCCCTTCACCTTTTTCACCCAGCCCTGCAACCCCTCCCCTCTGACAGCTGTCTGTCAGTTCTCTGTATTAATAAGTCTGTTTCTATTTTGTTTTCTAGTTTATTTTGTTCATTAGATTCCAAAAACCAACACAATAATACTAGGTATTGTTCATGGGATATATTATATAAAATGTGAAAACATTCTGGAAGGATATACAACACAGTTGCCTTTGGGGAGGAGGGTGGGAGAGAATGGGACCAGAAATTGATGACAAATGGGAACTTTAGCTTTAATTTTTCAAATAAAAAAGACTTAAAGAGGGAGAAAATGCAGACAACTGTAATTGAACAACAATAAAATAATTTTAAAAAAAGACTTAAAGAAAATATGTAATTTATTAACAGGTTTGTTCTTGGAAATGGGTTTGTTAGCAGTAATTTATTTTATGCACTTTTCTGCATTGTTTCCATTTCTAAAAATAAATGGGGAGAATATGAAAGCTAGAGGCTTACAGGTCAGCAAAAGGCAAGTGGGAGGGTTTGGGTGCTATATTACCCTTATAATATAGTTAAAACCGAGACATTAATCTTTCCTTTCAGTTAAACTGACAAGTGTATATTATATGTTTTCCAAAATATAGAGCTGTTGTGCTGCCTTCGGACACATATTTTTATTTAGTAAATATAGGCATCCATGATGTGCCTAGCCATATACTACCCAGGGATGGAAGACTCCAAGTTCCCAAGGTGTACACAGAAACTGAATGTGTGACTTGCCCAGCCCTGGTATATAAGGGTAAAACCTGGTGAGGACTATGGTAAACCGGATGGCCTCATCTAAAGGCATTTCTCTAAAGTTCACATGCGTATTTAAACACATTTTGACCAAATTACATGGGACTGTGAGACAGATTCCCCCACAATTTTAAATCCAATCTCCACGTAGATGCTGAAGTACAATTTTAAAAAGTTTTACCTTTGCAGCTTTTCTAGTCATTGTCAGGACAAGGTAAATGAAATGAATGACCTTATGCAGAATAATTGGGTGATTATTTATATGTGTAAAGAAGGGGAAATAGGTTAACAGAATGGACAAAGGGCACATACCTACGGAACTGGATAGTATGGATTTGCCTGATTGTAGTTCAACAGCTTCCTAGATGTGTTTCAATACAGGCAGATGTACTGCGTGTGTTATACAAACATGCATAACAGAAGCCGAGTGGGGAGAAAAGGTCGTACAAGTGGCAGACACTCTGAGACCGTCATTCTTTATCTGTTCAAATGGTTAGGCTATTTTGGTTTTGGGGAAAATGTGGGGGGCCCAGGCTTGGAAGGAGCCTCGGGTGTGGTGAGTTAACCGTTTCCCATCTGGATATCAGCCTTCGTTAGCTAGACTCCAGAAGCTAGTAGCTCCAGAGAGGGCAGAGGGAGCACCCTAGTGGCCAGAGCCTGCAATTCAGCCCCTCCGCCCTTCCTCTTGGCCACATCGCCTGGCTGCCTGCAAAGAAACAGGCCAGGACAAGAAGCAATGCAGGGCAGGCTGGAATCTGGGAAAACAAGCTGCATCTATGGGAAAGGAGACCCGTGGCCCAAATTTCTTGCAAAATTATCAGGAGGAAGCACGTGGAAGGGGGAAGAATCCATTTCCCCAGTCACGCATCCATTTTTGCCCCATAATTCTGCTACTTTATCATCAGTATTCAGTGGTGAGAATTCCAGAGTGCTTTGTCATCTGAATTTTCCAAATGCAAATATAAGTTGATTTTCTCTGGTGGAATTGGTACTTCTGTTTTCTGATTAGGGAATTAAATTGCACTTTTGTTTCTTTAATCTATTAATCTGATGTGTTATTTTCATTAATTCTAGAAGTGGAAAGCTAAATAACCATTTAGAAGCTGCTATTCATGAGGCCATGAGTGAACTGGACAAAATGTCTGGGACTGTAAGTTAATTTATTTTTCCATTATATTGTGTTTCTTTGAAAATAAATTGTATTACACTTTTTTGCTGAAGCCTCTAAGTATTGTCAAGCAACTCACGTAACAATGCTAAATTACTAGGCTTAAAAAAAACTAATATTGAAAACATTCAAAGTAATTAAAAAAAATAACCTAGCACTATTAACTGTGTGTTTTTCTGATATAAGTAACTTTGGAGGGGGGGGTGTTCTACATAGCATTCTTTTAAAATGTGAGCAGGAAAGTATTGAAGTTCAAACCGCAGCTTTCGGCATTGGACTCTGAGTAGTGGTGACCACTCATCAGTGTTGGCTAAATGTTCAGTAGCGCAAATTTCACTCAGTCCCTAGAATGAAAAGTGAAATTGAACAACAGGGTCAAGATCAAGAGTATGTAGACCTCTCATTTCCCTTCTGCTGTTACCTAAAAAAAAATAAAATATTCAGCATGAAATTCTGTTACTAAATTAACTAACACTATAACCTCTTGCTTTAAAGAAGTAGTGTCTACTTTTTCTTTATTAAACAGTGCATGTACTAGTGTTGAATGTGAGCAATGTGATCATTATCCTCCCATCCCCTAATGTAAACCCTTAAAATATAATTTGGGGAATCTCTCTAAAAACGTGAATTATCTAAAGCTACTCAGCTATGAAAGGTCATTTCTTTTACTTTTACTTGACGCTTTGTGTTAACAAGGTTATCTGAAACCCATCCAGTAGCTGTTGCATCACAGATACACAGTATACATTCACAGAGTGTCTGGATTTTTATGGGCTTTAAAGACTCTGTAATCCAACCCATCCTTTCACAAATGGGTCAAGTGAGGCCCTGAGATGTTAAATTTCCTGATAGAATTACAGGGAAAGTCTAGAACAGGGATTATACATTCAACCTTCTAGGACCAAACAATGTCAATAGGTCAGGTGCGTTAGGTATGAGAAAAACAGCAATGTGAGTGGGCTGAGAAATGCCCACCAGATGCACTGGTCAGAGAGTAGGCTGCCTACCACCCATCAGTCTCAGTCTCAGAGACTCAACACGGTAAAAGCTCATGCAGGTCTGATTCTAGCTGGCGAAGGTCTTGCTCCACACAGTTACTCAGCAGCTCAAGTTCGTTCTGTATCTAGTGTCCACTATTCCTTAGAGCCTCAGAGTGCCCCATTATATCCTTTGCATCCAGCCCAGCCGCTGAGAGAAGAGTGTACACAGAGGTAGTCACCAGGATAGGTTTTATGGGTGAGGCCTGGATGCTCATCACTTCTGCTGACTTTCCTGGCCTGACCCAAGCACGTGGCCCTCTCAACATTATATCATATGCCTGCTCAGGAAGAAGAGAAAATGGGTTTGATGAGCATCTCACTAGTGTCTGCTCACAGCATTGGGCCTTCGTGGCCAGCGGGCGGTTGGAGTGATAGGGACTGCGGCAACCCTGGGAGTGTGCTGTGTCCAGAGGAGAGCCTTTTTCCAAGCTCTGGCAGATCTGCACTGTATGGAAAATTGTACCAGTGTTGCAAGATTTTCCTATTTTTGTGAGATGCCAGAAATGTAGAAATAAAATTTCCCTCCCTCCCTCTTTTTTTAAGTGTTGACAACTGTTTTTAAAATATTAAAACATCATATGGCTGCTAAACAAAATACTTTTTCAGGCCACATTTGGCCCAGGGATTACTAATTTACATTCTTAAGTAAAGGCTTTTTTCCTGGGTTATAAAACAGTTTTCAGTTATAGCTCCTTATCAGAAACTAATGATTTTAAAAATGTGTATGAAGGGGGTAGGAAAATGAGGCAGTTTGAAAAACTCATAAATGTTATTTTAAAACTTTAAATATTATTTTTGAAAAAGTTTTCTGCATTTGACCCTGAAGAGCATTGGCCTTTGCTGTTATATAGATACTATTTTTAAAACATACAATAGAGCCAGCTTGTAGTGGATCTCAAGAGCTGATTGTTCATATCTCTTCCTAACTCTAAATTTTGTGGCATCACATTGGTAGCTTGAAATTCGCCACGGTAGAAGTATTTACACCCTGGAAACTGGCTCATGCTACAATGAACTTTTGTCCCTCCACAGGGAGCTGGTTGTTAAGCATTTGCTATGCTGCTGCCTTGGGTCCATCCTGCCTTTCCTGGGTCTTGACTTTGCCCTCTCTTATTAGTAGTTACCATACCACACAGGGCACCCAATCACCCTCCTAGCACCTGCCCTCTGTCCCTCAGCACCATACCTGCTATCTCATACATTCTCTGTGAATGCCTCCCCTCTGCTCAGTCTGATACACAGCCCTGAAACCTGCTAGTTTCTGTGTTAGGTGATAAAGATGAGTTGTATTAATTGCTCTTCCCAGACTACACAGGCTTCCATTTGCCAACAGATGGTGGTGGTGTTCTACTTTCCATCCTGACTCTTCTCACACATAAACTGCCTTGGGCCAAAGTTCTTACTATCATTGACCCTTCTTAGTAGCTGTAAAAGAAGTAGTATGATCGAGTGAAGAAAAAACATGATTGGTGTGTGTTTACCCACTTGGCAGATTCTAGTGAACTCGATGATCGGGAGCTCTCTGACAGGAAAGGTCTTGTTTTCATCTTTAATGGACAGTGGCAGGAGCAACTACCCATCACATTTTCCACACATGAATTTTTCCAATTCCTCCTGTACATTCCAGTGTTTGGGGGGCCCACAGAATGTGCTCTGCTTAGAAGTTTCCAGGACCCTCCTGTTCTGTAGTGACTGTGGGCACGCGGAGATCTAGGGTTTTGGTCAACATTTTGAATGCCCCACGATAGCAGTGATTGGAAAATGAAAGCCTGAGTTTATTTCTCTACTCTGTTTCTTTATCAGAAATCATACGATCTTTCTGATTTCAACCTCTGTTGTTGTTTTGTCCCGCCTCTGTATTTCCAGGTTCACCAAATCCCCCAGGGAGACAGACAAATGAGACCCCCCAAACCCAAGAGGAGGAAGATCTCCAGATAACAGGGACTGCTCCGCCACGCACAGTGTTTATTCGAGGGATGTGCACAGACATATCTATAGATAGGTATTGATCCAGCCACTGTTGTGTCGATGTTTATACTCTGGCAGAGAGCTACCGCCGCCACAGGGTGCTAAAGGAAACGTGATACAGTATTTTTTTGGTCAGGAAAGGTAATGAATGCCGGAAAACACAATCAAAATCCCTGAATAATGAGAGTAATAAGTGGTCAAGAGATTACTAAGAAACTCTTTTTTCTATAATACTAAAATTGTGATTATAAGAAATAGTCCAAATGTTTCTGAAGAATTTTCAATGTTGTATATAGAAAATACAGAATTTCATGGCGATATCAGAAATGTAAATATTGTACAATATTGTCATGTACAAGCGTACTTAATGCACACTTTATCTTTTATTGTACAAAGAAATAGTGTACAAAATTCTTTGGTTTCTATGGAGTACACCTACCAGAGACTACCAGTGTAAAGTGATAAATAAAAATACAACCTAAATGCTTTTCTATGATAATGTAAAAGATGCTGTTTTTGTATTTAACAGCAGAGAAGAGGCATGATGCTGTATTCCCTGAATTATGACATGCACTGCACACCACCGAGTGTCCACTTCTATTGTCTGTTTGCAATGAACCTGGCCTGGAAGCTCTGGACTGGACTTCGGGTGTCCAGGAGATTGAAACCTTGCAGATTTCTAAAGGGATGAGGGCTCACAGGTCTAAATTAAGAATTCAGAAACTGCAACCATTTGTTGCATATTTTTTTTACCTAAGTTTTAAAGTAGAATAGGTTTTATAAAGAAATCTTAGGAGGACTATTTTACTCAGTCATTTATGTAGGCAACATTCAGTAGCCACCTGTGGAACTACATAGTTGATGCTGCACCGCCACCGAGGCTCAGAGTTCAGTTTTTTTGCAGACAGTGCCTGGCAAGGTGAAACTTTCTGTTCCAAGACACGGAGGCTAAAGCCCCTCTTTGAAATCACTATCAGAAGCAAGGTTGATTATAATTCAGTTTTTCTTTAATAGCAAAAAGAAATATGAATCATCAAAGCAAATTTCATATATCCATTCATCAATATTACTTAAACCAGAAGTTAAGGTGGCTTACAAAATTATTAGCAATGGTAATTTTTTATCAGTATTATGTAACATATCAGATTTATTTTATTTAAAGAATTATTTATACCATTAACAGATTCTTATATATATATTAATGTGGCTAAATGTGCAGGTTAAATCTATTAACCAAATTATTTATATTATATTAAGAAAAAAATTGAAACAAATGTAGAAAGAAAATACTACATTACAAGTATACAAACCTAAAACTGTGAGCCATTGTAAAGTACAAGGTTATTAATAAGAAATGTAGCACAACATAATTTTCCGTCTTTTTTTTTCACAATTTTTGTAGTGGTGATATAACCTTATCTCCCAGGCAGTTGAGCAAATTTTCAGGCCTCCAGCCTGACTTCTGTTGATGAGTTGTCAAAAGAAGTCCATTATTCCTTTATTCTTATTACTACCAGCCTCCACCCCCAAATCCTTATACTCTTAGGGAGCACTGCCTTGTCCCCCTAGCCTGGGGCTCACTCAACAGCCTAAAAGATCCGGCTGCTGGGAGGCCCCGCCTAGCTGACCCTGGCCCCCAAATGCCCACCACCTCCCGCACTCCTCCTCTCATCCCACCCCAAACTCCTCAGTCCTGTGATGTGGCAGAGTTCTAGTAACTCAGGAAAAAGGAGACCAAGGTCATTCCTCTGATTAGTTTCTTGGGGCCACAGCACAGAGCACTGCACCTGAGCTCACTGTTAATATCAACAGTTCTTAATTCTTTCCCCAGGTCTCCTGTGTCTCTGTGTCCTTCCCACTCCCACCCTCGGCCCTACCCCCAAGCCTGCTGGCATGCAGCGGGCCACCGTGGCCTGGTGGCCCTCAGGCAGGCACCCTTCCTTCAGGGGGTAGGTTGGTCCTTCAACCCCCTTCAGGGGGTTTGTCCTTCATACAGTGGTGGGATGGCCTGCCCAGTCCTTCATGTAGGTACCTCCAGTAATCTTGTGTGTGGTTTAGTTGGCATATTTTTTGTTATAAGTTGATGTGTTTGGTATGTTAAAACCATTAATGTTGTCCATTTTTCTGCACCAATCTGCTTCTCTACTGTTTCGTTTACATGGTTGTTTTTATTCAGAGAGGTGCCCATGTCTGTGCATTGGGGGTGGGGGTGTTGATATGCAGAGGTTTTCATAGCCTTTTTTTTTTGTCTTCAGACTGAGTTTGTGTCGACCACGCCTTCTTTTTTTGATATTCTAAACTAACTGGGTCTGTGCCCCCCCACCTGTGTGTACTTTACATCAGCAGACCATGTAAAGTATGTCTGCACCCATGATTTCACTGGCTGCTCATGGCTTCGACGTGGGTACTAGGTGTTGTTTCAGTCTACACAGCTTTTCCCCCCTACTCTTTTACAGTTCTATGGTTTCGTGTAAGCAGTCATTGTAAATATTGTTAGCATTACAGGTCATGCAGTGCTGTAACATTTTTTTTTAAATGTTGCACCTACTTTACAATTAAAAAATTGGTCACCATACTTGAATTTTGCCCTTAGAGCCATTTCTTTCTCTTTGTACTGAAGCCAATTAATTTTTTTGAACGAAGGCTAGCCCTTCTACATTAATACATTTTTTTTATTCCCCAAAATAAACCCCCCCCCAACATATCTGAGAATGGCAACAGACTGAAGAATTTTTGTTCCTTTAAAGAACAGAATAGTCTCCCTTGGAAAAGGAAATCCAGTTTTCTTCTGTTCCTTTAAGAATCTTAGGAAGCACAAGGAGGATAGCCTATACCTTTAAGTAGTTTTCAAAGATTATTTCAAATGAGTTAATATTAACAGAGCACTTCTCATTTGATTTGTCTTATTTGTGGCATTAAAGCAATCAGGGTTTTTATTTATGTGAAGGAACATTTTTAGTGTGTACTTTTCAGTTCTACTGTGAATATAAATGCTGTAAGAAGAATAGCCATCCCTTGTGATATCATGGGCCACTTTTAGTCTTTTATTTAGACCCTGGGTTATTTGCTATGTCTGGTTTTTTTTAATTAAACCTAACCTTCTTTTTTGAACATAACACAGTAGAATTGTGGGAGGAGTGGAGGGCAGTTCTTTTGCTTTCTGTAAGTTTTATGAAGATTCTCCAGTGCTTGTCTGCTGAGATTCATTCCTCATTCCAGACCAGGATAACGCACGGTGGTTAGCTCTGGTGATCTGCCACTCTGTCTGCAACGCTCCCTTGGAAGTCACACGCAGTTTGGAGTTGAGATTTTAAAATCTAAGACGCTTAAGATGCTGGTGACATCATTCTTTCTAAAAGGAAGGCCAAGGATTCTAGACCTCACCAAAAATGTGATATCTTGTTTACTTTGCCCATTCATGCCCAAATGGAGTAATGCAAGACTCAGGACTGATCGCTGTAGTGTATAAAGTGAGTTATGTGTTGCTTAATCCACTGGGGGCTACGAACAACTAATATCAACCAGTCAGAACTGTAATAGAGAACTGTAATACTGAATTAGTTTATCTTTTTCTTTCATCCACTCTATCACATTTGCATTAGCCAAAGAGATAAGAACATAGTAATTCATATGTGTAAAAAAACCCCGAAGTGATTATTAAATCAGTGAGCCAAAAAGCAATAAACAAGCATGGGATAGCCTGCTAACAGTGGGGAGTCTGATACAGAAAAAAAATATACAAAAAAGGATTTTCTTAAATATAAAAGATTAATTTGTATCTACTGTAAATGTGTATTATCAGCCTTATCTGCTTTTATACACACTGTGTGTGTGCCTCAGTGACCTTTTATAAACCGGAGAAAATGGTTGATTTACTAATTTGCTATGTAAATACAAAGTTGTCTATAAATTGGAAAATTTGATGCCAGATGGCTTCACAATATACAAATGTGTTTTGTAACATCATGCCTTTATGGATTAAGTATAAATACACTGGACTGTCTGTGTAGAAGAGTAGCAGTTTACATTTCACCTGCATTTCAAGTGAATATCTTCGTCCAAATGGTTATAATCTTAGGAAAAGAAAATGATGTGAACATTTTCAATGTGGAAAACAAATATGATTTTGAATTCACCAAAATTCCTTTTATACTCAAGAGTCTTTTCAATTCCATGCTAAATGCCTTATATTGTGAGATTTCCATAGGAAATTCATGAATCCGCGTCTGGGCTCTACCTAGGAAACCTCTCCACACCAAATTATTCTGTGTTAAACACAGGCTGTGCATCTTAATTTCTAAACCATAGGCAGGGAGATAACCACAGCCACCTTATTGCTTTTAACTTATTCTCTTCTGCTTTATTTCCATGCATCTGGGAAAGCACCACACAGACAAACAGGGCCTAGTTCTTGTGCTGAGATTGTCTTCTCCTCTCAGGGCCCATTGGCCTTGGCTCTGCAAACACTCTGGGTGAGATCACTCCCTGTTGTGGGGGCCGTCCTGTGCATTGTAGGATGTTTGGCAGCTTCCCTGGACTCTACCCACCAGATGCCAGTAGCATCCCTTCCAAATGGTGACAATCAAAAATGAGTCCACACGTTGCCAAATGTCTCCTGGAGTGGGAGTTGGGGCTGGGCATGGGAGACAAAGTGAGCTTCGAAAGCCACTGCCTGGACAGAATCAGTTAGGGAGCATATGTCTGTGTAAAATACGGGCATGTTTTGCGTCCTGTAATCAACAGGAAACTGATTCCTAGACCACAATCCAAAACAAAATCCATGCCAAGTGAGTGCTTGTCTGTCCATGGTTAAGGAAGTGAATGCATTAGCTTTGGTTTCATTTTGAACACATTTGACACTTCGATCATAAGACCCAGGACAACCATGTTTTGAGAACTCCCAGGTAAGGCTTAGGAGAGTAACCTAAATACCATGGTTCTGAGTTTTCGGGAAGACTGATAGCCCACTTTGGGTAATGCAAGGAGGAGCTAATGACAGGGTAGCTGCCTCCCTTGGTCAAGATGAGGAACTAGGGGACCATGTTATATACATATTTTAACGGCTTTCTACAGCAGTCTGGTTCAGTAATGGGTAGTTATTTTGTGATCCTCTTATTTGTAAGTTTTTATAAAAGCAGTTCAATAGATCTTATAGATACCATGGGTAAATTTATTCATTCAATAAATATTGATGGACTTCTACTCTATGTCACATCCTGTGTGTGGCAATGGGGATACAACAGTGAATAAGACAGACCCCATTCTCTGCCCTCATGAAGCTGCCCAAAGAGATGGCCGATGACATGTGTAAGTTCAATAAAAGGTGATAAGGCCAGGATGGGGAGCCCATCGATAGCCCCTGGCCTAATTTAATGGGGATGGGGCTTCCGTGAGGATCCAGGAAGATGAATAGGATTAGTCAGGCAAAGGAGAAATGTGTGGCCTAGAGGGGGGTAAGAGAGAGTGAGTCGGGGGCAGAGAGGACAGATGTGTAAGGCTGGGAAGTGGCGGAAGTACGAGTGAAGAATAGAGAGCAAGAAGTTATGAAGAGAAAGGGAGCGAAGGGCAAAGTGGGGGCCTGGGCAAGTCTTGTCACAACCTTGCACTTGAGCATCACCGTAATGGGGGGCTCTTGTAGGGTTTTCAGGAGGGGGTGATATGGTCAGGCTTGTGTTTTAAAAATATTATTCTGACTGCAGTGTGAAGAGGAAGCATTCAAACAGGGACAGCACTGAAGAACATATCCATCATGTCAGGTGCAGCATTTTTAAAACGCATGTACTTCCTCAGAAACAAATAAAATATGGGGCCACTCTAATTCTTCTTATTGCACTTGTTGAGCAAGTTCCAGCCCAGTCTTAACAGATGTGTGTAGATATACATGTTTAAGTTCACTTCAGTGGTCATGAAGAAATGCTTCATTTATGATTTTTGCTAGCAATATTTATTCCCTATTTCTTTCACACAAATGAGTATGCTGTTGGCAGAGCAATAGTGTTCCTACTTTGATGATCAGAGGTTGGGAAAGTTTAACCTCTCAAAACCTCTGGTTAAACTGTTAGAAAGCAAGTCCCACCAACCAGAGTACCCAGGTAAGTGTGGGTCAGGTGTAGAACTTTGCCGTGATCACTGCACCCTGCACACAGCCACGGGAAACAGGAAGCTGGAGAGGAGGGCCCAAGGTGCCGGAGGTGCCAGGTGAGCACCAAGGTGATGAAAGCACAGGAAAGCAGGACCACGGGGAGTCCAAGCCCAGAACGAGGCCATCTGGCTGCAGGGACCTCTGCCCTGAAGCTGGGGAGACCACAATGGCCTTTCATCTTCCACTCCAGCCCATGATTTTGTTTATGCCCTTCAAAGTATCCCC